AATATTTATTTAGAATGCAGTAAGCAATTGGCTCTTAGTTGAGGTCAAGAGTTAAGTTTGTTAAGATCAACGGGGATTACTTACTTCTCCCTGCTACATACTTTCGAAGAATCTATTGACATGTAGTCATACGTTTTAAAAGCGTCAAACTGTGAAGCAAACATTACCCTTGTAACGGATTTTGTCATTAATTACTCCGCTCAAACAGAGGTTCACTCGCCCTGCACGTGCCGCATATTAAAGCCATCGATAATCGAGAATCGGGAAAAACCGCCAGCGCCTCCCACATCTGGCCGACAAGGGTCATATTTGCATTTGGCTGTGTAGAACAGCAGCTGGCCGCCGCTTGAAAAGAAAGTAGCGGGCGCGGAGAATATAAAACCGTATTTCCAGTTGGCCAAGTTTTGGGGCAGACTGGCTGGCTGACTGACCAGTCCAGAAATCAGGCCTTGGGCATGCAGGTAACGGTTTATCGGTTTCGAACCGTTGTCTCTCCGCACCGATCGGGGTTTTCTCGTTTCCCGTTCGGTCGGCCCGAGATTTCCGCGCACTTGTTGCATGCGGTCCCATTTCGCAAGCGGCAAATGCTCCCGTCGGCAAGGTGTCTGCCGCCAACCGTCTGTCAGGCGTCTGCAACCCCGTAAACAAGGGTGGCCATCACGGCCAGCGACGCCAGCGAAGCCATCGACGCAACCGCTAACAAAGAGGCTCCGAAAGCGAAAGTGGTTTCGACGGCGCTCTAGTGGCCCACAGCCAACTGGCCAGCCAGCTAGCCAAATCGCAGCCATGAATGGAAATGGAAATTGCCAACTGGTCAACGGGCTGTCGCGTCAACCGCTGTTACATCAGAAAGCCAACTGTGCCGCAGAAGATGGCGACTTGCCACGGAGAGCACAAAAGCAGACTCAGAAAACACCACTTTAATCTCCCTGCGTGGATTTCTCTCACTCCGCTCCACTGGCATACACCAGCGGTCAAAAAACCAGCCATACCAAATGGTGTTGTTTTGTTGAATCTTAAATAGAATATATTATTGAACTGGAATGAAAAATAATAGGATCCTCACAACTAGTAAATAATGAACTTATTATGTCCATAATCAGGTCATGGTGACGACATTCCTTTAAAATATTATGGTTTTATACCTTTTCTAAATTCTTTTTGATTTTATGTAGCTTAAATTATTGTTTATACCCGTTAGTCATATATCGTTACTACTAAAAGCGTGTACTAGATGCGCTGAAAAGTATGTAATAGGCAAAAGGAAAAGATTCCGACCTTATAAGGTACATATCTTGATCAGGATCAATAGCCGAGTCGAACTGGCCATGTCCGTATGAACGCCTCGATCTCAAGAACTACAAAAGGTAGAATGCTGAGATAAAGCATAGAGCTTCCAGATGTTGCTTCCAAATTTTGCCACGCCCACTCGAATGCCTACAAACCGCACAAAACTGTCACGGGCACACTTTTTAAAAGTGTTGTGATATATTTTTTCATTTTTGTTATATATCTTCTAAATTTATATAGATTTGCCTTTAAGCCTTTTGACACGCCCACATACCGCGCAAAACTCTCACTTTTAAAAAATGTATTTTACTATCTGAGTAACGGGTATCTGATAGTCCGAGAACTCGACTAGAGCATTCTCTCTTGTTTTACAATGAGATTTTTACATGACAATGCCGCTTAATATACATTTGAACTCTGAAGTATAGTTTAGTATACTCGAGTATAGTTTGTTTTGGGTTCTAAATAGTTGTTTAATATACACATATGGCTATTCCGAAATAACTGTATTGAGCAATACTGCCCCTCTCCCTTTGATGGTCGGTGCATCGTGGTGCTAGTTTCTCCACCGGCGCTGTGCATAAATACATAATTTGCAATGTAAGCGCTCCGCGGCCACAAACATGAGACGTACGAAGACGGACCAGGCCATCTTCGATCGCCGGAGTGGAGCGCCGCGTCAGTTGCATTTCTGGCTCGCTGGACAACGGTTCACGTAGCGGCTTGTGTCTGCCTCTGGGCTCTCGACCACTCTCGCGCCGCTTTTGACTTCTGCCTGTGATAAGCCCTGTGAATGGTGGATACCCGATACCCAATACCCAATACCCGATACCCGATACCAGATACCATAACCGCCCAATAGGTACTTGGCGTGATTCACAGTTAAGCCGTATAATCGTTGTACTCGTGAGCGCACTGATCGATTCCACTTCGTCGAGTCGCCGAGGTTGAAGTTTTGATGTTGACGGTTTTCGCCGCCGCTGCCTGATAAGGTTCAGACGCACATCCGACCAGTCGTCAGTTGGCTTAAAAGCGTGCGAGGTGGAGCATCGCGTAAACGGAACAATCGATCGTCCGCCGCAGTTGCCAAATGACCGATTAGCCAACTGCAAATTCGATTCCAATTCCGATCCGAGTGATTCGACGAGCCAAGAAGGCGAGACCCGCGCTGATTGACCAAGTGAGTGTCCGAGTGTGTGCTGTGTGCGTGGCCTTCCCGAGTGACTTTGATTAGATAACAAGCCCCCTCCTAATTAGAAACCCAAACAGCAAGTACTGTCCCAATGACAAAAGCCGAATAAAAATCAAAATATGTAAATATACGAGGGGCAGACGGTTAAATATTGAACAAAAAGTGGGCAGGTGCGTGGTTCAAGCTAACGCACTTAGCTCTTGGCCAACCGCATTGTATAATCGCCCGAAACGTGACGGGACTTCCACTGGTTTAAAGACACAGGTGGATAGCCGGCTTATCGTCTAATCCAATTAGCCGATTGCCCCGTCAGATGCGGCCAATGGGGTTCGCTGATAAGGGGACAGCTGGCCAACCCAGTCCTCTTTATTGCTGGCTATCATCACAAGGGGCTAGTTTAAAAAAAAAACCAAAAAAACTGCTGTAGATTAAATCCCTAGTACGTGACTCACTTGTCGGTTTCAATTCCATATTAGGATCATCATGGGCGGCAAACGCTTATCGCCCAAGAATGCGTCATCCGCGATTCCGCCGTGTGGCTCTAGGTCCGCCGCTGTCATCGATTTTCCACTTAATTAGGTTTTCTAAGCGAGCGATTGCCACGGAAAACCCGGTCACCGCCGTGTAATCTACATACACACCCGCCCCTGGGGTGAGCGCGATAAAATCAGCAAGCTCATCAAACTATTTACGCCGTTTTCGCGATTCGGTTCTGCTCTGGCTGGAACGCCTGTGCCCTGGCTAATTGATTTCCAAAATGCAACCTGCTGCAGAGGCCAGCCATGTAAACAATAGCGTGCAGGCACCTAGCCCCAAAACCACACGTCGAACCCCTCACGGAAGCGATTATGAACCCTATCTGATAGCACGACCTTCAGAGCAGGACAGCGGATGGGTCCATGCCGCGACCGGAAGACGGTTTTTGATGGCCCGTAGCTGGCTCAGCACCTCAGCACCCAACCTAGTCGCCACTCCGGCAGGGCGTGTGCCTCAGCACAAGTTGCCGCCTCGTTTGCTTGCCGGTTTGTGTTTCCCGTATCTGCCATCTTCTTCTGCGCACTCTGCCCCGTCGAGCCGCTTACATAAGTGGGGATCCGTCTCCTATTCCGCGCTAGGTGGTTGTGGCTGGTGGCCATCCCTCTGCGGAAGCGTCGTCGCAATCGTTTTTATATACGAGTATTATGCAAATCAAACAGCGAAATCGCAAGTCAACCGCCCGCCCGCCGCCGCCACACCTCGCGGATGCTGTGCCTCCGGGCGAGGCCAACTAGGAAAGCGTGCCACTGACCCACACAGCGAACTACGAACATCACTCACCGGTTGCGACAGCAGCGAATTTCACGCTGACTGAGGTAACGGCAGCGACAATAAAGCGGCACATTTTTGTCAACGTTTATTGAGCCCATATTGCCCAAGTCTTACGTGTCCATCGGCATCGCCATCGTCACCGCCATCACCATCACCATCACCATCACCATAGCCATGGCCAGTTTATTGCCCATGACATTCAAAAAGCAACCTGAACTGCCGCAACTCACCTGTTCAGATGGCTTTGGCTGGTGCTGGGAACTATCTGGAAAGTTGTATCTGTATTCGATACATGTCACATAGCTGAGTCTAAATAGTGCTTCATGGGCCAAAAGTAATCGGGGCTACATTAGCAATACGCGCAAGTTCTTTAGAGAGCGGAAATCATTTAAACTACAATATTTTCAGTTGATTTGCAATGTGTTAAACAGATATAATTCCTTTCCCTTTCTCCTGAATACCAACCAATTTAGTGCTAACTTCTTGGAGCACAGTTCTAAGCCAGCAAGTAATTTATTCAATGACAACCGCATCCTGAGCTTGACTCTGAATGAGAAAAGCGAGGCGGCGAGTGTATCTGCTTTCGCTGGATTTTGTTCGATGTCCGGTCCAGAATCAATTGATATTCATAAGGCAGTGTGGCGGGAACCTGTACAACCCGCGGCTGGGTATCGCTTGAACTTTCTGAACCCGCGATCGAATCAGAATATGAATGGCCTGAGCCCACTGTGCTGGAATCTGGAACCTGAATACGCCCGGCCGGTACAAAGTGCAGTCTTTGTCCAGTTAGAGGAATTTTAATTGCTCTGGCCAGAAAATAACAGCGCGCATTGTGCAAGTAGCCAAGTCACGCCCCTCATTACCGCATCAACAGGGACTGCCTATAATTTCCTGATCTAAAGTGTTGATACACGGGCGAATTGTTAATTGCATGAATCTTGCTTTTAAATGTGTTTTGCCTCTAATGCATTGTCAATTACAGTATCTGTGCTAAGTGTACTAAGACAAAGGCATGCACACGAAAACCGATTTGCAGAGTCTGCCGTTTGGCGATTTACGTCAGTATCAATGATAACATTAACCCTTTGGAAAGTTACGTGCGGGGTCAAAAGTTGGCCCTGATTTAAATACAGCTCTGGCTGGAAGTTCCCCACATTCCACAAAAATATGTACACCCTGTAGTCAACAACACCATTCCGTTCCATTGCAGCTCGGTTTATAAACCATACACAGGTCAGATCCCACTACTAGCACCACAGAAACAACAAACAGAAGCGACAACAAAATGGCAATCATACTGCAAGAAGCCCAGGAGTGGTATCGGGACCTAATGGACAACAAGAGCGGTATGTTCGAGCCAGGAGTTTTCCGTTGGTATTTCTCAGATGGCCTCTTTACTTTCCAGATCCCCGCGTTAACGACTTCTTTCTGCTGTCCTCGCCATTGCCCACACTTGGTATGTGCATATTCTATGCCTACTTCAGCAAATCCCTGGGGCCACGGCTGATGGCCAAGCGGAAACCGATGGAGCTGCGATCAGTTTTAGTTGTATACAACGCGATACAAACAATATTTAGCGCGTGGATCTTCTACGAGGTAAATAACACTGGCCCCTTCATCCGGCCCCCAGCTTAATCCGTATTTCCCTTTATTGCAGTACTTAATGAGCGGATGGTGGGGCCACTACAGCTTCAAGTGTCAGCCCGTTGACTACAGCACCACAGGCTTGGCCATGCGGGTAAATTCGGCCAAGGATAGCCCTGCGAAAGTATATTTAAACTCTATTCCACCGTCTAGATGGTCAACATATGCTGGTGGTACTACATATCCAAGTTCACAGAGTTCTTCGATACACTCTTCTTCATTCTGCGAAAAAAGAACGAGCACGTCTCCACACTCCACGTCATTCATCACGGCTGCATGCCTTTCTCCGTCTGGATGGGTCTCAAGTTTGCACCAGGTACGTATAGGAATGGCGTTTATAAGGATAGAAAATGTACAGCCCAATTTTCCTCATTCACAGGCGGTCATAGCACCTTCTTCGCCCTTCTCAACTCGTTCGTGCACATTGTAATGTATTTCTACTACATGATCGCCGCCATGGGTCCAAAGTACCAGAAGTACATCTGGTGGAAGAAGTATCTGACCACCTTCCAAATGGTAGTTAAAAAGGTCCCCTTTGCTTGCGAGATTTTTATAGGATTTCCTCTGGCTTGCAGGTTCAATTCGTGGCTATCTTCACCCACCAGTTCCAGCTTTTGTTCCGCGAATGTGATTACCCCAAGGGTTTCATGGTCTGGATCGGCTTGCACGGCGTTATGTTCCTGTTCCTGTTCTCCGACTTTTACAAAGCGAAATATCTCAACGCAGCTCGACGTCGCCGGCAGGCGGTCAAGGCCAATGGCTATGTCAATGGCTTGCCTTCGAACGGGCACAGCAAGCATCTCGGAGAGGGTGACGCCCTGGTTGCAAACGGCAGTAATACTGGGGCTTGCATGGTAGGTCTTAGTGTCACCGCATACCTAATCTGTGGCACATTCAAAAAAAAAAGTGTAGACTGAGCACACACATATTTTCTTAACTTACCCAAGGCCCTGACGCCCGACCTCACCAAGGTGAGGGACTGGTTCGAGAGAGGGCAGTTATATCATCATAATTTTGTTGATCAACTTAAAATTCTAACTAGCTAAGTTAGGCAAACAGCACTTGCGAACTCTCCGCACAGGCGGGGGACGTTTCAATTAGCGCTCACATGTGAAGCCGGATGCGAAGGCCCAAGCCCAGTCCCAGTCCCACTCCCAGCCCCAATCTGCCGCCCATTAGAAAAACACACAATTGAGCATTCGCTCATGCACACACGTGCCGTCGTCCAGTGCAGCCTGAACCTATTGAACTCATTGAGCACTCTGTGTTTTCTTTCCAGCCGGTGATGGGGGACGAGTACGTCAAAAGCAACGGGCAATCTAATGGTGCCTACAAGGACGGCTTTTTCAAGGAGGGCGTGTTATCCAACAACGATGCCATCTTTAACCCGGACAGCAGTAGTTCTAGTCTGCATCAGCGAAAAGTCAAATAACTGCTGATTAGGTGTACTACGATGATATTCATTATGTTTATGTTAAGTGATTAGCGTGTAACTGAACCAGATTGAAGAACAAGACAAACAAGAAACTTGGTAGAAGTAGCAGATGACGATTGGCACCACAGCAAAGCAAAATTAAGAGAGCTCGGTTTACGGATTGTCTTTGATAATTTATATTTTAAATACGTACAATACATAAAATCAAAAGTCATTCGGATGAGCCGAATCTTACCGAACACACGCCACCTATGCCCACCCACCCGAACCGTCAACTAAAGCTAAGTAGGAAGAGAAGCGGAAGCGGAAGCACAAACTAACTAAGAGATAATCAAACCATTTTGGTAAACGTGTCCTACGGCACCAGTATGAACGGCCCGCTTGAAACACCTCTGATGCGCAGAGGAGAGTTATTTTTTGAACGATATTTATAGAGCCTTTACGGCCTGTTTAAACCAACTGCATAATCCAATTACCAATATTAGTGTAGCTTACTGCAACAAACACCTACTGAGACGTACATACTCACTTTAGGTGTAAAATATTTTATGGAAATTTTTGATAACAAATTGAGATGTTACGACCTTATGATAAATGAAAGCTATTCATGCTCTCTTAAGTCAGCTCTAATCATAAAGAACACGTTATACTATTTGTAGCTTACTTTGTATATTGAGAGAACGGCAGTTTGTTGAAATACTTTGTAAAGGTATAATAGTTAAACTTATTTATACATTGTAGCTAGCTAGCCAATTGCAAAATGCAACACGACCCAGACCTCCCCTTCGTCTTTCTAGGCAATATGACTATTAAACTGACGACATGACCGAAGAACATACTATAGTCAGACAAAAAAGGGTGATACAGAAGATGGAGATAAAGCTTTTATACTGTAAATGCAAACCGGCTTGAGGAGAGGAGACAATCAGTTAATTTGGTGGTTTTCAACTGTTCACATTTCATTGAACCTCTTTTTGGTGTGGCTCATATATATTATTTTATTCCTACCTATACAATATCCGCTTTCTCCCATTTTTGGATTGAAGTTAAACGGTTATATTTCAGTGAAGTGGGAAGTATTGGTGACAAATTATTTGTAAGTGTAATTCTGTCTGTTAACCCGTGCGAATGGTTTCATTGTTAGGTTATCTGGCTTAAGCTGACAAGTTCAAAAACTATAGTAAACCTAAATAAAGCTTATTAATTTATATTAAAACGGTTCAAGAAAATATTTAATTATATAAACGCATATTTTGTATGTACTTGGGGCCATTGTCGTAAAAATTCCCAATCTATACTTAACTTATTTACACAGTGTACACGGTAATTCTTAATAAATGAATACATTTTTTAAGATTTCTGGCAATTGACCCATGTGCACAATCCCCTATTGAGAGTGGACATTGTTTCAAAGATTTGCAAAACATCTTGCCAGCTACGAACATCGAGAAACTATTGACTTGAAGCTCTACGAGAAATGACAAAGGCTTTAATATAATGCCTTCACTATCACATACATGTTTCTTAGTTAACAAATTTCCGAAAATGGTCCAACTCTTATAGAATTTCGTCTGCAATATTAAATTTACAATATTATTTAACAAATTTGTGCGATTTTATATGGTATATGTTGGCCTTTTGAACTTTAATTAAAAACAATCGGATTTTAAAGGAATTGCGCTGAGGACGAATCAGCTTGCACAGCTCGACTAGTGAACCTACTGAGGAATACTTAAAGCACAAATGGAAAGAAAGGTAGCTGTGGCAACCTGTACGTATAAGCGCGGTGATCTCGAAAAGTATTAAAGATAGGTGTTTATATTATATAAGTATGCAGATTCTAGAGTCAAGTGAGTACTACGATTTAGTGCGGACAGCCCACGTAGAGACGAAGCGCACCACGCACACGCACGAAGGCGACTACTATATGTACATGAATAAACTAAAATCGGCTGTTGTCCGATCTTAGCGAATGAAAAATCAATCGAAAGGTAGCGCAAAAATCAGAACTTATAAAAATAAATAAATTCAACATTCTAGCTTTTGTAGTTCCTGAGATCGAGGCGTTCATACGGACAGACGGACGGACAGATGGATAAAAGGGTATACTATATTCGTTGAAAGTATGTAACAGACAGAAGGAAGCGGTAAAGTAAAGTATATATACCAATAGCCGATTCGTTGTGACCATGTCGTCCCTATGAAGCTAGAAAGTTGAGATTAGATTCCGGAGATTAGACGCAGTGCAAGTTTGCTAACTAATATTGCCACACTCTCTAACCCCCAATACTGGTACGCCCTCACTTTTGAAAAATGTTTTAATTTTATTTTCGTTTTGCTTGTCCTGCCAATTTTAATCGGCATACCAATCACTTTGGCCACGACTTTTCTAACGCCTACAAGCCGCGCAAAACTATCACGCCCGTACTTTTGAAAAATTTCTATACCCGTTACTAGTAGAGGATATACTAGAGTAAAGTATATATAACTGGATTCGTTAAAAAGTATGTAACAAGGAAGCGTTTCCGTATATATATTCTAAAGCCCACAAAACGATGAAAACTGCCACGCCCATACTTTTGAAAAATGTTTAGATATTTTTCATGTTTTATTAGTCTCGTAAATTTCTATAGATTTGCCAAAAAAAATGTTTGCCACGCCCACAACTGTCCAAAACTGCCACGCCTACACCTTTGAAAAATGTGTTGATATATTTTTAGGTTTTTATTAATCTTGTAAATTTCTGCAGATTTACCAAACAACTTTTTGCCACGCCCAATACTTTTTTTCCCCTCTTTACATATTTACAATATGCCAGAAAAATGTGAAAATTAAAGGGTATCTGATAGTCGAGGAACTCGACTAAAGCGTTCTGTCTTATTTTATATAAAGTATTTATAACGTCAAGCGGAAAATCATGTACCATCACAATAGTTGATATAAGATTTTAGTATGTTGAGGGTGCGTACTTTTCTACCTGATCAAAAGTAGTTGTGATTTCTTTTACAGATATTTATTAATTAAGAGAGAAATAACTCCAATAACTGTACGTTATTATGACACTAAAATCCCTATTTTGTAGAGAACTCCGGAGCGAAAATTTTGAAAACAACAGGTATAGTGTAATATTTTTGTTCTATCACGAACAAAGTGGCCCCCAACTATTATCGCTGACCGCTCGGCTGTGCAAAATTGGAGGAGCGTACCAGACAATCGAAAAAAAACTAATAACAACGCAGTTGCCACCGACTTAACATAGAAATGGGCCATTACTTAACATACTAACTTTTGACAAACAAATCAGCTGGGATGTACAGACTAATATTTAAAGGCCTTTTAACCTTGTCGGCTCTTGACCCTTGACGCACCAGTCGGAGGAGGCGCGATGCTGGCCAAGTTGACATAACTTAATGCATCGTAATGCACCGGCGTATTTGGAGCTGCGACCGAGACTATCTTGCCTCGATAGCCTCAGGCTAGTGTTAGCGTTAGATAATAATTACTATTATCTAATTGTACTATTACTACCAAGTATCCGAATTTTATTTTAAATGAATGGTCAATCGTCACGTCAGGTGCACACAAATACTTTACTGATAAAATTCGGCACCACTTGGATTAAAACTTGAGGAATTTATAAAAACAGTTATAAAAAACTAATAATTCAGGCAAAAGAGTCTTGAAAACACTGCTTCAAAGTGCGCTAGTAAACAATTAAACCTTCGCCTTAAGTGCTATTTTTTTGGGACTTATAATTATAGAAATTCGTAATAAATAAGTTCCCTCATATTTTGCAAAATACGGGTATATCCATTAAATGGAACTGTATGGAACCGAACAAAATATTACACACTATTGGGGTATAGATTGCCCTGGGCAATTCTAGGCAAAACAATTCTGCAAGTATTATAGAAATTCTCCATGTTGGTGGTCAGAGGGTTAATTGTAAAAAATTCTATAGGCCAGAGTACGCGCAATCAACATGGATGATTTAGAGATGTAAAAGGCCAGGTATCGGGGACTTTCGGAAGTTTACTTTATGTAATATTTATTCGCTTGCTCAGTGCGCTTGCATATTACGACGGTAGCTGCACTTGAACATTGCCTGCGGCGCTGACATCAGACAAAAAACCAGGTTCGGGTTCAGATTTGGGTCTTACGGTCGGGAACTCCGATCGCATGGAGTCGCATTCCCGGTGTCCGGGCCAATCGGGCTGTTTGTGTTTTTCGCGCGCTGCACTTGACGCTCGGCGGCGGAAAGTTTTCGCACTGCACTGCACTTGGTTGCCGCTGACCGTAAAGTTTCCACAGCCGCTGGCAGTTGCGTTCTTCCCTGCGTTTGCGCTCGCGCTCGCGTTTGCGTTTGCGCCTGCGCCTGCGCTTCGTCGGCGTCGCCGTTCTGCGCCGCGCGATCCGCGTTTAATCAGCCGCGCGGAGCGATCGCTGCTCAGTTTTCATTCAGAAGTCAAGCGCGCGCTAATCGCAGTCGCAGTCGCAGCTCGTGTGCGAACGCCGAAGCCAAAAGCCATTGCGAAAGTAATCATTTTACAAAGTTCTTTGGCAACACTTTGTGAAATAGTTCGGGCCGCGCAATTTGTGTGTTGTGGTTTTTGCAGATTTCAGTTTTCAGATTTCGGTTGCCAGCGATTTACCAACCGAGCTGCTGCTGCTGCTGCTGCTCGCCTTCGGTTGCGGATTTCGAGCTGTTGGCAAGTTGTAAGTTGTTGTTCGCACATGTGATTTTCGCTTTTCGCTCTTTTGCAACTGCGCGCCTGGCCCGTTCACAATAACCATTTTGGACTGGACGGCGCTCTCCTCGTCAAAACACCTCCCCGCTCTCCCCTCTCTGACTGTCCGAGATAATCGATTTGACTGGACGATCCAACAGTGTGGCAACCCTGCCGCCGACGCTTGCACAAGCTCAGCTTTGGGGCAAGTGATTCCCGGCGAGGATCCCTCCTGATGATTGAATCCTTCAGATGTGGTCCCAGGCCGAGTTCCGGAGATTCGGCCCAGTCACGCCTGCGCAGCTGCAGACCCCGATCAGCTGGGGAGTTGCTGG